TTTACTTTTGCATGTGCAGCGTGCGTGCGCCGGAAAGTGGAAAGATTCGCCAGAATATTCCCTCCAGGTGGTTATGTGCGTAAAAAATGCATGTTTGGGTGCGATCGTGCAACTTTTTTTAGTTAAGGTGGCAAAGCGCAAAAACGGGCAAAGTCCAGGTGGCGAAAGGCTATTAACCCTTGTTTTTTTTACATGTTTCAATTCTAAGCTCGATATTTGAGTATTTCCATGAATATAGGATCGGCAAGTAAGTGCACATGTTCATTATTTGTTTTCTATCTCATTTATTTGAGTATGTAAATAATCACAAAGGTTTAGCAGAACACTTCGTTATAGATGCAAACATTAGAATCTCGTGTCGTATTTGGTAGATATGATGAAAATACAGAATTCACGGGATGCTTGTAGGCATAGTGCTATGTAGTACTTGGATTTATTTTCTCCCTGCGCAAACCAATTTATTCGAGCCATGATTAAAAATAAATAGCTTTAATAAAGCGAACCAAACTTAAGAAAAAACCGTTAGAAGCTTTGTTTCTTCAAATTTGAAAATTTATTTCTCTACCAGAAAATCTGAAAATTTAATACATCACTACAAATTGTGTCTAGAATATTCTTGTAGAACAGTTCTAGAATAATTATGACATACTCGTACCAATCGACTTTTTATCAGGAAATTTTGATATTTATGTTTTTGAATTCACAGAAGTTGAGGCTGATGTTTTCTTCATTAATTTGGCTCGGTGCTTCTTTAATAGTGGTGGTTTTCTTTCAGCACCAATTCGAAATTTGGATGTGGACTAAAATACATGGGGTTTCTCTTTCGAACAATTCCATTTGAAATGTTGTTCATCTTATGCAATGAGAAGCAACCATGCATTGAAATGTTGGACGTCTTCGTTGAATATACTACTCGAATCTTGCCCCCCTGCACCTAGTTTGCTTGGTCTTTATTTAGGTTGTTGTTGGATAGAAGTTCAATTTTTCGAGGATACTATACTTACTTCTTCATCGACCATAACCAAATTTTTAACCTTTGAAACAAAGATTGCACACAAATTATCTTACTCTAGAGTTGGACAACTTTTAGTTCGACTTTCCAGTTTTGCTGATTTAATTTAATTATAATTTTATGAGGGAAACTATTGAATCAGTCATGGTACTTTGATTTTCCTTATGATAAGAAAAAAAACTTAATAATAAGGACAAGTTGTAATAGTATATAATAGAAACTTCAAATATAAAGATTTGTTGTACACCGACATACGAAAAAATACCAAAAAAATAAATATATATCATCACAATACTCACCTGATAATGATTCGTATTTGGTTGGATCTTTGAAGAGGAGCACATTATTTAATGTGTATATATATAGTAGGTGGACTGGACACTTAGTGAGATTGAATGCATGTATGCACCAATGATGCGTTTCTTTTTTCAGTTAACACAATGATGAGTTTTATGTAAATGCGTGAGTTATGCTATTGTAGGATAGAATGGAAAGACTTTTTTTCTTCTTCCCATTGGCACATGATGAAGAGTGAACCGATGAGACCAAGTTGTTGAGTTAGAAGTTGTGTTGTTTTCAATTTTATTATTTGATAAAGATGAAGTGGAAACGTCTATGTAATTAATGATTTTATTAACAATGAATGGTCGATTGTAATAGGCTGGAGAGTTTTTTTGTAAGACGATTTGTTGAGTATTTAGCATTAAACCACCTACACATTTTAAGTTTTTGCGGATCACCACATGATTTTTTTTTTTTTTTTGCACGAGTTCACCTGTACTTAATTAATTGTGTCACTTTGCCATTTTTTACCCGTTTTCAGGTCAAAATGACCGCTTTTGAAGCCACGTGCGTTGCACATGCGGAATCCAAGAGTATTATTGTCTTTTCCATTTAAAAAATCCCAATTCCATATTTCCCTCAATTTCCGTGTTATCTCCATTATTTTCCTTCCATTATTTTATTTATCTCATTCATTTCTATAATTTGTCTCTCATTCTCCCCTTGCCTCTCTTCTTATTCGTTTCTTTGGCGGTGCTAGTTACTCATCGTCGCCTCTGCTGATGCCGCCTCACTCCACAAGAGGAACCAACAATGGATTAGCCTGCAGCGGCGCTGCAACAACAACCGTCAGCCCAACCACCGCCGGTGGTAGTTCCTCATCACCACCCACCCCTGTCGACGTTGCCTCTCTCCAAAGGAGAAACCGAAAAAGGATTAGCATGCGGCAGCTGCAACAACAACCACCAGCCCATTCACCGTCGCACTGGAGAAAGAAAACACGAAGGTAATAAGCCGATCGTTGCTATAATCACCATCCCCACACTCTTTCACCCAATTCCGCACCTTCATGACTTGAAATTAACTGCAAGTCCATCCCCTGCATCCAACGCCGTTTCAATTTCTGTTTTTGGGTGGATAAGTGTATGGGTAGGTTTTGGTAGGGGGTGAGGTCTAAAAGTGCTTTTTTCGGATTTTATTATTTTATTAAAAATATCAAACAATAATTTATTTTCTCATTTTCTTCTAATTACCAAATCGAATTAAATAAATTGGAATTACTTTGATTTCATTTTCTTCCGAACCGAACACCCTTGTGATTTTTGTGATTTTGGAATTACTTTGATTTCATTTTTCTAGAAAACGATAAAGGGCGGATGAAATGAAATGTGTAAGAATGTGTGAATGTCAACAGGCATTAGGGCTGAGTATTTTAGGAATGGAAAATATATCAATAACCTTGTATTTGTCATGTGAAACGCAAGTGGGTGAGAACCGGTAATTTTGACCCGCAAACAAGTAAAAAAGGGCAAAGTGGCACAATTAATTAAGTACAGATGAACTCCTGCAAAAACATTTTGGTCAGGTGGTGATGCGCAAAAACTGAAAAAGTTCAGGTGGTTTAATACTATTTACCCTTTCAAGAAAATTGTGTTTAGGCCCTTTCTTTTAAGAGAATTTAATAAGTCAAAATTGCGAAGAACTACTTCTACATTGAATTATGAAGTATAAATTAAAGTTAGATAAATTTATACTTTCGAATAGGACTACATATCTCGAGCTTTTAATTCAAAATAAATTTTATTGAAATTATAAAAGAAAAGATTAAGAATATAATATACATAAAAGTTCCTCAAATTCATTTGCAGATATAGAGGATTTCACATGCTACCCTTTTCGTGTTTGCCTGAATTAAACCATTTCTTTATGATATTTTATTATTGTTCAATAATTATCTTTTCAGTAAAAATTAGAGTATGACAAATGTAAAACATAATAAGAAATGAAAATAATTATACGATTTTGTACGTTAGATAAAAGGTATAAAAACTGCAAATTTTAATTCTCCATTTACAATTTTCATTGTTATTTATTAAATGTGATATTTTTATGTATTATTATTAATGAATATGTTATTACTCAATTGTCCTTCTATATGCTTAATACATTATCTATTGAAGTTGCGTTTTGGTCCTCACGTAAAAGGAAATAAACCTCCCGTGACATTCCCACTTTTATAGATAGATAGCCGCGAAGGACGATTTCAATTTACTGTTCATTCACAAGAAAGCTTATGTTAGATTATGACATGAAGCTAGAGAAGTTCACATCACCTTCCATAATTTTACTACCTTAAAATCATGTGCATAATCAATTTATGAAACAAGAGATTCCAAGTAAATAAATTGGTTTGATCTTCCTATCATTCGCATATTTAAAACATTTATTAAGTTTACATCACTCGCAATAGTTACCTATATTTTTACAAAAACATTTATATGAAGACATTGAGAAAGATGAAGATCAATTTGACGGTAGTAAGAAATTTTCATGGGCTTTCAGTCGCCTGTAATTGAAGGAAATGATGAAGGAAAGGTTTTTTAACACACTTACATCGTATGATGGACGTGTAATGAATCGTCGAATTGGAAAAGTCTATCAACTCTAATCACCGTTGTCCAGAAGTATGTGGCCCAAGTGGGAATTCTACACCGTGCTCCAAACTTTTACGAAGAAATGGTGTTTTTAGACTCCCAAGAGTTCAAGAGTTTTATATAACAGGTATTTCTAGTGTTGATTCTATAGGTTTTCCATGATTTTAAGGTATTTTGTAATACACGGAGTAAATAGAAAAAAAAATATAGTTTTAATTTCATTACTGAGATAGATGTCCGGAGGAATTGTTGGTGGATATATTCTATAAAACTTTGAAGACACCCAATGTGTGAATATTGTTTTGTATAAATGAATGCTTATAATGGAGAGTTAGTGCATATTTATTTCTTTGGAGTACAATTTATTTTATAGAATGATGACATAAAATTTGATAGAAACGTGTGTGTGAGTTTTTTTTTTTAAACTAATAACCACCGGTTGGAATTACATGAAATGTAATTGGTATTTTTTTTTGCCATTGGATCCATAAATATAATTAATTCTAAGTTGATTTATTTAGTCATTAATACCTAAATGATCGTGGAGTTCTTTGTATTTTGCTTACAGTTGCATTTTGTGTAATGAAATGCTATAGTTAATTGGTGCACCATTTGTGAAAGTGAGGTTTTTTTTTTTTTTTTTTTTTTTTCTGAAATTTTAGTTCAATTCTTAGTTTAATTATATTAATGCAAAGGATTGATGAAAATGTATGTTACAAAACGTCCCATTCAAAAGAATGATCAAATATGTGTTTGAATAAAAATTGATCATTTACCATATCATCCTTTAAATAAGCTATTGGCCAAAGGGTAATTTTGTACACACAAAAAAGGGAAGAAACCATCACTAATTATTCACACTTTTATAGTTGGTATATATATATATATATATATATATATATATATATATATATATATATATATATATATATATATATATATATATATATTCAATAAAATTTAATTTTCACAAAAATACCATAACGTTGTAACACCAGGTGAGTTGCAAGTGAATAAAGATAATCATACATAAACTATACTACAATAGTTAAATCTCAATATCATTTATTCAACAAACGAAGTACACACAGATTACATAATTAAACACTATTGTTTTATTTAAGACAATATAACTTATTAGCTTAATTAACAATATTTTTATAATGATCAACTCTGTATTTAATCGATATTCCACCAGAACTGTGCTTGAAGATAGTCGATCACGTTCTTTTCGACCTGGAATGCCTTTGTCAGAACAGCTGTATTAATTGTTGGATCCGAACCAAACACCGCGTTTGCAATAGTAATGACACCTGGATTTTGGCTGCTTAAAGCAGCAAAAGCGACAGCATTGGTCTTTCCCACGTTGAATTGGAAATGTATTAAACCCTCTGGAAAGACGAAAACATCCCCAGGGTACAAATACTTTGTGAAGAGCTTGTTTTTCAAGGTAGGGTCAGCTGGATTTGAAGTGACAAATCCAACATAAAGAGTGCCTTCTAACACAACTAGAATCTCGGTGGCACGTGGGTGAGTGTGGGGCGGGTTCAAACCATTTGGTGCATAGTCTATACGAACAGCAGAAATGCCCAAAGTGTTGAGCCCTGGAATTTGGTTAACGTTAGCAGGAGTGACTCGTGATCCAACTGGATTTGATGTATTTCCAGGCTTGTTTAATCCCGAAAGAAAGAAATCTTCGGCCACAACCATGTTAGGGTTCTTGCAGACCTTCCCATTCACAAAAACTATACATGCATGCAAAAAAGATGTCAGATTAAAGTTGTTATTTGATGATTATCTAATATAAGGTAAATAATGTACAAAATATAATTAGTTAGATGTTGAAATTAATTACCAGCTGCATCGGCATCTTTAACGGCAACACAAAAATCTTGGAGAGGGCTGGGATCTGATGCATATGCTAATGTAGCCAAACATGAAACAATAAATATTGTTATGAGGGAGACAGCACCCATCTTCATTTTAGCTAATAATATTGGATAATATTCAATGACCTAACTATATTGCTTATATATATGTATATATTGTTGTGTAATGTTTATGAGTTTGCATAGAAAATGTGCCTATTTATAGAGAGAAATGATGTGAAATAGTCATCTCCCTTCTTTTACAATTACAATTATTTTACTAAGAGTTGAAAAGTCTCCAACCTTGCTAAGTATATGTTGAAATGGTCATTTTCTGCTTGCGTATACTGTTAATCATTTGACATATTCGTTCATGGTTTAAATTATAACTCCAATTCAATGCCGGGTCTTATGTTTCTCGACGTACCTAAAACCAAAGATCGAATATAGTCAAGTTTGATATATTGTTTTAATATTTTTATACAGACTTTGGGGGAGCTAGAGATTGCCGAGATATAGGAAATATGCGACCGCTCGTTGACGTCAGTTAAAATATATACGAAAAAAGGAGATTTATTTTCGTATTGTAACTGTCAGCATCGACGAATTGGCCAACACTCCAAAGATTTTCTATTCTCTTTTAAGTTGCACGACAAAAATATACCGTTATACATATATGTCTTATCAGCCATAGCCAATCTTGATCCCTGCCGTTAACATGCAATATTGCAATCTAGATATTGAAATGAGCCATAGTTGGAAAAAAATGTCTACTAATTTATCAAAATTTAATTGTTTTTTTTAAATATTATAAGTTTTTCTTGTTTATTAAATTCGCAGAAAAAAAAAATCTTTTGTTACGTACGAGTATTTGGGAGAACAAAAGAGAATAATTAAGTGTAAAATGAGATTATCAAATTGTGAGGGGTATGCCAAATGTAAATATAAAAATAGGCCTCAGATATTTTATGTTCATATGCACTAGTAGGAAAATGGCAAGAATTCTTAGCTTAAGGTTCCCAAATTCGTAGTAAGAACATTTTTACTGCAGTAAAATTACGTAGCAAATACTTTTTGCTTTGAAGACAAGTTTAGAGGATTTGAAATTTCAAAATAAGTTGTTGAACATAAGTAATTAATTAATTAAGAGCTTAGACAAATCAACAGTACTAACCAACTTCGCATTACTTTTTTTTTTTGTTTTTCCCGGTAAATTCAACAACAAATTAGTACTTACATTATTTTTTCTACTTTTTATGTAAGCTACGACCATAGTAGATTTTCTACTGCCTCGTTCCAACTCTTTTACAACAACCAAAGCAACGTCGAAACTAAAATCTGACTCCTCATTTCCTTCTAGGACATCACGTGAGTTTGCTCTAGTTAAATTCTCACAATAGAGCTTTTAAATTGTCTCTCGTCGGTGCAAACTTTTCAGCTTTCAGCTTTGCTTCAGTCAACTTGTCCATGGCCCACGTATATTTTTCACCACATTTTTTACATTTCTGTGTTAAGTGTATATTTATACACTTAATTGTATCTTTTATTTGGAGCTTTTGATGTGTTTTTAGGATAATTGGTGCTTAATTTGGTTATTATTTGTATTTTAGGTGCAAATTGAAGAATTGACAACTTTTGGGGTGAAAACTGCAATTTCGGAGAAAAAGTGGGCCAAAAGTAAAAAAAGCAAAATTCTGGAGAATCAAGGACCCCGCGGCCGTGCGGATTTTAGGCATAAATCTCACACGGCCGTCCGGATGGTCGAATTGGCGCAGTGAAGGAATCCTAATTACACAAGGAAACCCGCCCTATTATATTTTTACACCCTATTTAAAGGCCACAAGCACACAATTAGAGATATCTTTTACCTTTTATGTTTAATCTTTAGGTTTTTATTTTTCATCTTTCTACACGCGATCAAGGAGCACAAGAACGAAGACGAAGACTTGACGAATCTTCATCCTAGTTCCCCTCTTTGACTTTTATTTATAGCTTTTATGATTTTTATTACTTTTATTATGTTTTTCGTTATGAGTAGCTAAGTTTTTAATCTAGGATTTTGTTGGAACCCTATGTGGGGATTGTGAACCCGTTTTCTTGAGATTATGCAATTATGATTTTATGATTATTTCTTATACTTGTTATGATTGTTAGTGCATGAACTTGATCAATTTATGTGCTTTATCTGTGATTATTGGGATTGACTCGACAGAGCTATTTTGATAATTAGACGGTAAGTATAAGAGCCTTCGAGTAGTTTTCACCGGATGAGTGTGTCAATTGCATGTGGTGTCGTAGACATACAGATATCACCTTAGGTAGCCATTTACGAGACTTGTTAGTTAATGCTTTATTTATAATTGGTTTGCATAGACATATAGTGAATCGTTTATGAATAATAGACTCATAATACATGCGACAGCGGGTTATGAGTAAATTAGTGTCTCGGGTTAATAATCATGAATCATATATTTCATAATTGAGGGGTTTTGGGTGAGCAATTCTTGCATAGGGGGAAGATAAAATCCTAGATCTGTTTTATATTGATATTTTCTCTTGTTTATTTGCTTTCCTAATTAGTTTAATTTATTTAGTTAATTAATTTGACAACCTTGCGTAGGCTGGATAAAAATCGTAATTGTTAAAATTTGGTACTTAGGATTAAATAATTTGCGTATTCCCTGTGGGATCGACATCCGACTCTCACGAGTCTACTTTACTACTTGTTTGCGATACGTACACTTGCGTGTGGGTATTTAGCACCCAACAATCCTCATATAATGTTTTTTCGCTATATAGTCATATTTAACAAAGCAATTATACAAATCTATCTATTCTTTTGCTCTGTTTATTGCAATATTACTTATCATCAACTATAGGAAGAATAGAATAGGAGAAGAAGAGAAGAGAAATAATGCGTAATATAATAGAAACCCCCATTATGTTATGGGTCGATTACATGAAATATATATAGAGAAATATTGCAAGGTAATAGAGTTTGACTAGGTAACTAAATCCTAACTAATCTAGGTAACTCAATCATAATAGAATCCTAATATTACAAGAGTTATTATAATATAATATACTCTAATATCAACATTTGGTGGTATTGCATTGGCTGATATCTTCAATGACGACTCTGACGTTCAACTCATAAATTTCTTTTGATTTTTCAGTTTTTAAATTTTCATCATTAGAAAATTTCAATATATAAAACTTTTTGTATTTATTGCTAATTAGGAAAAACCCTACCCTATGTATCAAAGTGACCCCTAATCCTTTTAAGCACCCACAGTTCATAATTTAACCCATGACTTACCCAAATTGAGTTGAGTTGATTTACGAGAGTACTCTTATGCTTATAAATTACAACAAATTGATTTTCTTTTTTTCTTTTTGTTATATTATATTTTTCCATTATATTGGTTTCGCAATCTGTATAGGAAACATCTAATAGGCTATTTTTCAACAATTATTTTTGACTTAGTTTGAATTATCGATCTTTGATTTTGGATTATTTGGGGTTCTCAATCTATTTATTTTTCACTGAATGATCAGCAGAAATTTAATCCAACTTCTTTCAATACTATTACAAAAAGACCCTATGTCAAACTATTACAAGAAGACCCCTAAAGAGGGTTAAAAGTGCAATTAATAAAATACCTAAACTGAACTCAGAACTATTAAAAAATTCGACAAAGAGACCCCAAATACTCTAGCTAATAGATGAGTTGATTCCATTTCAATCTCTAAGGTCGATTTGTTTATCACGAGCGATACGCAGCCCAGACCGAAGGAGGCAAAGCCGATGCTTGAAAAAACTCCTTTCTTTCGTGATGGGAATATGCCAAACGATCTGCCACCGAGTTCTTCTGACGGAAAACGTGTTTGATGAAAGTGAAGCTGGGTTTCAATTTTCTTGCAAGTATTTGAAATATTCATTCGTCGAGTGATTGTTTTTTAACATAACCATTCACTAATGAAGAAAACCCCAATTATATTGATAAAATATAAGTAATATGGTTCAAAGAAACATTGGTATTTTTTGCTGTTCAGATTGAATTATCAAAAACTACTATTTAAGGTAGAGTTAATTGCAAATACCACCCTTGTGAAATCTCTAATTGTCAAATATCCCCTGTCAAAAAAAAATTCACACATACCCCTGTGTAAGAAAAGTCAAGGCATCGAGACCGCTCGGAGCAAATCGTGTCCCTCACGCGCTGCTAGTGCGAAGTTTTCTCCCATTTGCTTGTGAAATGTCAGAAACACCCCCAAATAAAAAAAAAAAAAAAAAAATTGCCCAGCTCTCGCCTTCTTCGCGTTCCTCTGGGCAGCAGAACAGGGGAAGTTTGATTTCTTACAAATCAAACACCACCACCTCTGTTCCGCCGTCACATCACCACCACCCACAAACGCAGAATGAAATTCAATCCGCAACTCACGATCTATGATAATTCCATCTCCGCTAGCATGATTTTGATGATTTTAATTTTTTTCTATCACACAAGTTGATTTCTCTACAAGAGGAATCATGGACCATTTTGTTCAGATTTGTTAGTCTAATATGAATTTTTTGGGCTACATTTGTGGGGTTTTTTTTCTTGGTTTTGGGAGCTTGGGAGACTCTCCTTTTGCTTCGCCGCCTGTGAGGGTTGAATTCCGGCGAGAGGCTTGGCCCAAAAGACGAGGGTTTCGGCTTCTTCTTCATATATTTGGCCGTTGGTGGCGGCGCCTTTGCTACTGAAGCAGCTCCTCTCAGCAGAAGAAGACGGGAGCCGCGGCGGACGGAAATTGAGGTCGTCGGCGTCGGAGATCATTTTTTTGTCGAGCTATTTTTTATTTTTATTACTATTATTATTATTATTGTTATTATTATTATTATTATTATTATTATTATTATTATTATTATTATTATTATTATTATTATTATTATTATTATTATTATTATTATTATTATTATTATTATTATTATTATTATTATTATTATTATTATTATTATTATTATTATTATTATTATTATTAATATTATTATTATTATTATTATTATTATTATTATTATTATTATTATTATTATTATTATTATTATTATTATTATTATTATTATTATTATTATTATTATTATTATATTTCGAATTTTTTGTTAAAATGAAAAACTATTAAAAAAATTATAAACACTAATATGATTTACTAATTGCAATAAAGCTCCGGGGCATTCTCGTCTTTTTACGCTTGGTCAAAGATTAAAATGAGAATGGGTGCAGTGTACTTCAAAACATATTACACAAGGGGGTATGAGTGAGTTTTTTTTTTTTTTTGACAGATGATCATTTGACAATTAGAGATTTCACAGGGGTGGTATTTGCAATTAACTCATTTAAATTAGGACAAAATGCACTTCGCCCCCTAGGAAATTTTTCCCCCCTACAAACTTAAAAAATGAGACTCTTCAATTTTTTATTCTAATTGCACTTTGCCCCAATTGACACTTTCCGACGTATTTTCACCAGTATTGTCCTTTCTCAGTTCACTTGAAAATTTTGGACCACAATATAATATGCGCAATTATGCAAAGAGTTTGTTTTTCAAGGCAGGGTCAGCTGGATTTGAAGTAACAAATCCAACATAAAGAGTTCCTTTTAACAAAATAAGAATCTCAGTGGCACGTGGGTGAGTGTGGGGCGCAATTATGCAAGGTTGTTCATTTTATGAGGAATTCAATTAGATATTGATTTGTTCAACCGTGCATGTGCTCTCCTGTGTTAAGTTTAATTACTTATCTTCAAATTGGTTCATCAACTATGGACAATTAGGGATAAAGTGTTAACTAAGCTAGATTCAAGTGAATAAAGATGAAAGGGTCACTCACTTAAATCAATTAAATATCAATCATATTATTTATTCATTACAGAAGTACAAAGAATACCAACCCGAGTCCTATGAATTTATTTAAGACAATATCATTTATTAGCAACACAAGATTCTTATATACCAACTCTGCGTGTTTAGTCGATGTTCGTCCAAAACTGTGCTTGAAGATAGTCAATCACATTCTTCTCAACTTGAAATGCCTTAGTCAAGACAGCTGGATTAATTGGTGGATCCAAACCAAATACTGCGTTCGCAATAGTAATGACACCTGGATTTTGGCTGCTCAGACCAGCAAATGCCACAGCATTGGTCTTTCCAACGTTAAATTGAAAATGTATCAAACCTTCTGGAAAGACGAAAACATCCCCAGGGTATAAATACTTTGTGAAGAGCTTGTTTTTCAAGGCGAGGTCAGCTGGATTTGACGTGACAAAGCCGACATAAAGAGTGCCTTCCATCACAAATAGAATCTCAGTGGCACGTGGGTGAGTGTGGGGCGGGTTCAAACCGTTTGGTGCATAGTCTATACGAACAGCAGAAATGCCCAAAGTGTTCAGACCTGGAATTTGGTTTACGTTAACAGGAGTGACTCTTGATCCAACAAGATTAGAAGTATTTCCAGGCTTGTTTAAGCCCGGAAAAAAGAAATCTTCGGCCACAACCATATCAGGGTTCTTGCAGACCTTCCCATTCACAAAAACTATACATGCATGCAAAAAAGATGTCAAATTAAAGTTGTTATTTGATGATTATCTAATATAAGGTAAATAATGTACAAATATAATTAGTTAGATGTTGAAATTAATTACCAGCTGCATCCTCATCTTTAACGGCAACACAGAAATCTTGGAGAGGGCTGGGATCTGATGCATATGCTAATGTAGCCAAACAAGAAACAACAAATATCGTTGTGACGGAGAGAAGAACCACGATCTTCATCGTTTTCTGACCTGATATATTAATTGACAGTGCTTATAACTTATACTTGGTATTTTTCTCAAGTGATGAGATTAGCATAAAACTGATGCTTATTTATAGAGATTAAGGTGCGAATTAGTCGTCTCCGTTTCTCTTATAATTGTAATTATTTACAAGAGTGTTGAAAAGTCTGTAAGACCTGGCTAGCTAGCTAGAACATGTAATCTGGTTTGAATAAGTTAAAGGGGAGCAGTTAAGAATATCTTACTAAACATTGTCGATTCTTTTTTTCTTTTTTCTTTTTAGGTGATAATACTCGTACGTGTTACCGAATCGGTCTCGTTAAATATCTTGTCTTACTTGAAGAATTCTTCTGGCCTGGCTACTTGTTCTTCATCACTGTAAAAACTACGCGTACTCTAATCGATCTAGAAACGAAATAATTTCTTTTGGGGGTAGTTTAAATATTACACTTTTGACCGTACCCTCAATGATCTTGAAAATCCTGAGAATATTTGTTTACAAAGAAAATAATTTTCCTACATTATATACCTTATTATTGGATATACATATATTTACTTCAAGTTCTCTTAATTCATATATTTTCTCTACATTTGGGATTGAATTAAGGTTTTCATTGTTTTTATGGTTTTTAGCACATTAATTTGAAGTCATACTGATAATTTGAATTAAGATATCTCTAAATTGTGTGCCATGCTGGCTTACTTCGGGTGAAATTAGAAATTTACCTCTACTTTTTCCAGCGCCACATCAGCGAAATTTGGATGACGTTAACTAAATTTGAACTAATCATTAGATATAACTAGCGTGGTCTTTGAGATGCTACACCTGGTGAAGTACACCGGGTAATTATTAAATGTTGATGTGGTGAAATAACTTCCCACTAAGCACACATACACATGAGTGTGTGTGTGTGTGATTGTGTGCAGATCAACGGTTAATAATCACCCAGTGTATTCACCGAATGTAGCATCGAACAAGCCTAACTGGCGCCTAACAGGAATGCCGTGTGTCTTTTAGGGCTTACATGGCGTTGTAACACCAGGTGTAACACCAGGTGAGTTGCAAGTGAATAAAGATAATCATACATAAACTATAGCTAAATCTCAATATCATTTATTCAGACAAACGAAGTACACACAGAGTACATAATTTAACACTACTACTGTTTTATTTAAGACAATATAACTTATTAGCTTAATTAACAATATTTTTATGATGATCAATTCTGTATTTAATCGATATTCCACCAGAACTGTGCTTGAAGATAGTCGATCACGTTCTTCTCGACCTGGAATGCCTTTGTCAGAACGGCTGGATTAATTGGTGGATCCGACCCAAATACTGCGTTGGCAATAGTAATGACACCTGGATTTTGGCTGCTTAAAGCAGCAAAAGCGACAGCATTGGGCTTTCCCACGTTGAATTGGAAATGTATTAAACCCTCTGGAAAGACGAAAACATCCCCAGGGTACAAATATTTTGTGAAGAGCTTGTTTTTCAAGGCTGGGTCAGCTGGATTTGAAGTGACAAATCCAACAAAAAGAGTACGTACAACAGATCCTAGAAACACACTAAAATTCTCGAGATTAAAACTTCAGCACACTTTTTGTTTCTTCGAAATATGTACAATTCTTGAGTCTTGAGTTTGGTATTTATAGACTTGCCAAACTTCCACTCCTCAGCCCATGATCTGCAAGAAAACCAACCACAAGAGCACTCAAGAAAGTGGGTTAGTGGGTTAGTTTGGAAGTTAAGATAAATTCCATAATTTAATCCACTAAGCACTACTTAACCCACTAACTAAAATTTAGTTTAGATAGTAAGAAAGTTAAAAACACAATGTGGAATTAATCCACGTGTTTCAAACTCCCCCTTTTTAACTTTCTGATCAAAACTAAATCTTAGTCAAAAACTCCCCCTGAGATATTGCTTGAACTCCCCCTGAATTTGATAACAGTAGAAAAATATAGAAAAATGAATTCAAACCAAATTCAGCAAGATAGTCCAACAAAAGAAATAACCAAAGCGCAGTCCTAAACAAAAGTTCAGAGGGAAAATAAACAGAAAAAAAACAAAAACAAAGTATTGTTCATGAAAAACAATCTAAAGTAAAATATCCAAAGTCTCCTCAGTATCAGCTGCTGCTCCTCCATCACTAGATCCACTGCTTTCTTCTGCTCCTTGAGCTTCCCCCTCATTCTTTGCTTCCTCTTCATTAGCTCCTTGCTCTCTGCCTCTTGCATCCAAAGGATGAGATGTTCCTGCTTCAGCTTCATGACCTTTTTCTCCCCCTTTTTGATCAGAAAGAGCCTTCTGAAGCATGTCCACCATGGACTGGTGGTAGGTAAGCTGAGCTAGAGAGTGAGTAAGCTGTTGCAACAGAAGATCTCTAGGAACAGACACAAGAATGTTAGGAATGTGATCATGCCTTGTGGAGTGTGAAGATATTCTGAGTCATCTTGGCCCAAATTTTGAGAGAGTAAGATGGAATAGATGAGAGAAGGATAAGGAAGATGAGTGGAGGGTGAAATTTTCTGGGCAAGATGACCAATAGTATCAAAGAACAGTTTGCCAAAATCAACTGGTAATCCCATCCCCAATTTGTACATGAGTACAACATGAGGTTTAGTTACCACAGAGATATTTTTGGATGGAATCCAATTCATCACTGTGAGTCTAAACAAGACAGAGTAAAAAGCAGTGAGTTGAGACACCTTGAATTTTCTGGGGTGTGCAGGCCAACTTCTTAAACGGTTTCCAGAAATGACTTGACAAATCTCAGTAAAATCACCATAATTATCCTCATCAATCACAGTAGGAGTTTGTAAATGAGAGTTGATAATTTTGGGAGAAAAGGAGAAGATGGAGTTTCGCACAAACACTTTGCCAAAGTTTGGAGAGTTTTTCTTTAAAAAAGAAGTTTGCAAATTGGCATAAAATTCCTTCACAACCGTGGGATCATAGGAGCAGGCAATCTCAACTAGGTTAAGGATTTTTCTTTGATGAAGAAAAGCAGTTATCCTATGCCTATCAAACTCTTCCTTAGAAATTTTCTTTTCCTCAATGAATTGACAATTCATGACTTGAGGACTCAAAATTGGATCAGATTCAAAATAAAAATTAGGACTGAAGGCATTGTTTACCTCAAAAGGGGTTGACAAATTCTTCCCATCCAAGTCTGGTTCTTCTTCTTCTGGGGAGTCATCATCTTCTGAATCTTTAAGCTCATCAGGAACATATGCTGGTTCAGGTGATGCAACAGGTGGGGCAACACCTTCTTTCTGCTGAGAAGAGTCTTCAGAAGATTCACTGTCTGAATCAGAGGAGGGCAAATTTTGGCGAAAAGCAGCTAGAGGAACCTCCCAGCTGTCATCACTTTTCTCTGGTTCTTCAGCCTGAGGAGGAGATGCATCTGCTTGAACTGCTGCTTCTGCTAGGGTTTCCAGAGGATCTCCATGAGGTGTTGATGGTGTTTCTTCAGTAGTGGTGAAATCTTGAGCATCAACAGTGGGAATGTCAACATGCTCTGCAAATGACATCCCAGAAAAATCAGGCATTTCTTCATCCTGATAAGGAGCAGCATCCTCGGCAGCATTCTGAGGAACATTTGCTGAGACAGTGGGTGCATCAACATCTTCTGGAGCATGTGCAGCAACACTTTCAGAGACAGGGTGTTGAGAGGCTGCTGCTGGCATGCTAGGCTGAGATGTCTCCCCTTGAGTTGATGCTGGGGGAGGTGAGTCCTTTGATGATGACTCAGAGGAACTGGAGGATAGAGTTTGAGCCTCCGGTGCTGCAAAGTTAGGATCTCCTTCTTCATCATCAGTTTCTTCATCCACCAAATGAAGACCTCTTGGTGGATTTGGCCTAACTGGAGTGCGGCCACCTCTGCCTCCTCTTCTTCCACCTCTGCTTCCTCTTCGGGGAGAGTTTTCTCCCCTCCGGCGTTGTGGCACCGCAGTATTCAGATCTGGGAAGGGGTTCATGCGCTTGGACCGGCGCGTTGGAAACCTTCCGGCAGTGGAAGAGGGACCCACGAACTCGAAGTTGTCTGGGTCGATTGGGTTCAGCTCATCTCCGGGCTCAATGTAGCTGATTGATACAGCTTCAAGGTTGACTGGATGAACGATGATGGCCAGATTTGGGTCTGCTGGTTCAGGTGCTGCAGCATCGTTGTGGACATCACCAACGGCGGCTGGAAGAGGATTTCTAGGTGGAGATGCCATGATACAGTAGATAAAGGAAGATTGCTTCTTTGTGCTTTTGATTTTTGAGTGTGAATTTTTGAGAGAAGAAGCACGAAATTTATAAGCCCTAATTTTGCTGAAGAAAGAAAGAAAAATTGAAGTGGAGAAGGTGAAGAAGTGGTGTGCGTTTTTCTTGGGGAGAGTGTGATTAAGGAGAATAAAAGTTTCCTTGGCAGTTTAAAGAAAAACGTGACACATGGCACAATAAGGAGTGGGCTTAGTGGAAAATAAAGAACTAACCCATGTACCCATGACCCATATAAATAGGGATAATTCAATAAAAATAAAAATAAAACCGTAGCACTCATGAAATATTCACAAAAATAGAAAAACACATTTATTAATGATTAAAAGTGAGAAAAAAATTTGCTGACAGGCATAGATATTATATATGTATATATATATATATATATATATATATATATATATATATATATATATATATATATATATTTTTTTTTTTTTATATATAAACTCTTATTTTCAAGTCAAACAATTCACATGGAACATGATCAAGTGTTCAGTTTGAAGGTTTCTCAGTTACTAAGATATGACTATCAATATAGAGAAGTTTGACTTATGTGAGTGTAATTATTGTCTAAATGTTTACATGAAGCATGATCACGTTTCAAGGTGAAAGACTTCCAGTTACTGATTTAGAAAATAATCCATTACAGTGAAGTCATTATGTAATGAAGCTAATGCTTCAGTAAATTATGTTGAAGCTTAAGATATTTGATGAGGTGCTGCAACACATTTCAGGACATGTTTATTGAGTACACATCCCGAGAGATTTTCTGAGTTTAGAAAACCTCTCATAATCTAATGCCTTTGTAAAGATGTCAGCCAGCTGATCTTCTGTAGGAATGTACTTTAAGCACACTATATTTTTCTCAACTATATCACGAATAAAATGATGTTTAATATCTATGTGTTTAGTTCGTGAGTGTTAAACAGGATTTTTTGAAATGTCAATAGCACTTGAATTATCACAATATATGGTCAGGGTATCACTGGTTAGCCCATAATCTCCCAACATTTGTTTCAGCTACATATTCTGATTCAGCTGTTGAAAGAGATACACAATTTTGCTTTCTACTAAACCAAGAAACTAGATTGTTCCCCAAAAAGAAACATGCACCTGAGGTGCTTTTTCTGTCACTAATATCCCCAGCCCAATCAGAATCACTAAAACCTATCAAGTTTGTATTTGTGTCTTTGAAAAACTGAATCCCTAAGTCTACTGTACCTGCAACATACCTAATAATCCTCTTCACAGCTTTAAGATGAGTGACTTTGGGATTAGCTTGATACCTGGCACACACACAAACACTAAACATAATGTCAGGCCTGCTTGCTGTTAGATACAAAAGGCTTCCAATCATGCTTCTGTAGAGAGTGCTGTCGACATCTTCTGCAACATCATCCTTAGACAGTTTTTGGTTGGAACCCATTGGAGTTTTCATGTGCTTGGCTGATTCCAACTCAAACCTTTTGACCAGATTGAGAGCATACTTCTTTTGATTCACAAAAATTCCTTCATCTGTCTGTTTGATTTGGAGTCCTAAGAAGTAATTCAACTCCCCTACCATGCTCATTTCAAAAGTGTGAGACATAGAATCTACAAAAGACTGCAAAAGGTTAGCACAAGTAGAGCCTAAAACAATGTCATCAACATATATCTGAACAATAATGATATGATTATTAGTTCTTCTAACAAATAGGGTTCTGTCTGCCTCCCCTCTATTGAACTGTATTTCAAGTAAGAAGTCAGTGAGTATTTGATACCAAGCTCTAGGAGCTTGTTTAAGACCATACAGTGCCTTCTTAAGCTTGAAAACATGATTAGGCTTGGCAGAATCTTCAAAACCCTTTGGCTGTTCTACATATGCTTCCTCATTTAAAACCCCATTCAGAAATGCACTTTTGATATCCGTCTGATACAGTTTGATTTTAAGAAAGCAGGCTATAGAAAGAAGTAATCTAATAGATTCAATTCTAGCTACTGGAGCAAAAGTCTCATCAAAGTCTATACCCTCAATTTGAGTGTATCCTTGTGCTACTAACCTAGCCTTATTTCTAACAACTGTACCTTTTTCATCAGTTTTGTTTTTGAAGATCCACTTAGTTCCTATCACATTTACATGGCTTGGTCTGGGAACTAAGTACCAAACATCATTTCTGATGAATTGATTCAACTCTTCATGCATTGCATTGACCCAGAATTCATCCTTCAGAGCTTCTGCAATATTCCTTGGTTCCACTGAAGACACAAAACAAGTGGTTCCAGTTAGTGCACATTTAGAAGATAAATTTGCAAATCTTACCATATCTCTGTAATTCACTCTCTCTTTTCTTCTGCTTCTTATTCCATCAAAGATATCTCCCACTACTTGAGTAGATGGGTGATTTTTCTGGATTCTGCTTGATGGTTCCTTTCTGCAGACATCAAAGATTGGCTGCAATTCAGTCTCTGTATTCTCTGTAGGATGTGCTGAGTCAGATGTGGTGACACTTGGCTCAGCACCTTCTTCTCTTGAATCTGGACTGTTTGTATCTGGGCCATCTGTGGCTGAAGTGTTTTCCTCTGTTGTTTCTCTTTCAGCAATTAAGTCATCAACTTCATCTTCAGCTGTTTTACTGCGGAGATCAGCAAAGTCATCAAATACCACATTTACAAATTCAATAATGGTTCGAGTTCTTAGATTATATACTCTATAAGCATGACTGTTATTAGAGTATCCCATAAATAAACTCAAATCACTTTTTGAATCAAATTTAGCTAGATGATCTCTATCATTTAGAACATAGAAGACACATCCAAACACATGCATGTATTCTAGATTAGGTTTCTTACAATAAAGAATTTCATATAAAGTCATCATAGATCCTAATCTTAGATACACACGGTTTGAGATGTGACAGGCTGTGTTGACAGCCTCAGCCCAAAACCTTTTAGACAGATTTTTTGCACTTATCATCACCCTAGCCATTTCCTGGATGGTTCTGTTTTTTCTTTCAGCAATGCCATTTTGCTGAGGAGTTTTTGGAGCAGAAAATTCATGCTTTATACCCTTTTTATTACAAAAAGCAAGAAATAAATCATTCTCAAATTCTTTTCCATGATCAGATCTTATTCTACGAACAGAAACTTGAAATTGAGTTCTAACAAACCTGTACAAATTTTTGAATACTTCAAAAGTGTCTGATTTTTCTCTTAAAAAATACACCCAAGTATATCTTGAAAAATCATCAACACTTACAAAGACATATTTTTTACCACCTAGACTTTCTACCTCTATAGGACCCATAAGATCCATATGTACAAGTTCAAAACAAATAGTGGTACCAACGTGTTGCAACACTTTGTGTGGTACTCTGGTTTGCTTTCCCTTCTGGCACATTCCACATATAGGAATATCCTTGATCTTGAGATCTGGTACTCCTCTTATGGCATTGTACTTGTTGAGCAGCTTCAGATTCTTGAAGTTTGTGTGTCCTAGTTTCTGGTGCCACATCTCTACTTCACTTACTCTTGAGCTCTTGCATGAGATGGTGTCACCTGTTTGATAACAATTATCCATTGATCTGGAACCTGTTAGTACACAATGATTTTGATTATCAAACACAGAACAACAGTATTTATCAAATTCTACACGTAGATCATCATCACACAATTGACTGATACTGATGAGGTTTGACCCCAATCCTTCAACATGTAGGATATTTGAAAGTTTTGGAAGTCCCTCAATACTGAGTGTTCCACGTCCAACCACTTTGCCTTTAGCTCCTCCTCCATAGGTTACACGTCCTCCATTAAGTGTGTGGTAGTTTGATAGAAATTCCTTTGTTCCAGTCATGTGCCTAGAGCATCCACTATCAAAGTACCATGAACCTGAAATGTTAGCATTTAAAGAGGTGTATATTGCCTTGCACAAAAGTTTACCTTTGGGAGTCCATATTTTACACTCCTTTTTGGTAAATTCTACCTTTTTCTTTGAGGTGTTCCTTGGAGTGATGTGGCTTATTTTATACAACATTTTGTCATTACAGAGTTTTTCACAAAATGGACGAATGTGTCCTGGTGAGAAACAGTAATGGCAAACATAACCTCTTATTCTGGAATCTGGAGTGGTGACTGTGGACTTCCTGCATTCCTTTCTGTTTGCACCCTTTTCTTTTACAAAGACAATTTCTTTCTTCTTAACTGGCTTCATTTGTTTTTTGAACCCTAGCCCTTCATGTTTGTAGTGCTTTTCCATTGACACAATCTCTTCGAGTTTAGTTGTGCCAGTGTTCATCCTCTTGATTGCTAGAGTTGCCTTTTTGAGTTCATCTTTCACCTTTGCCAGTTCAAGATCCTTTTTGGTGATTCCAACCTCCAAATGTGTGATTGTTTCTTTGAGGGAGGAATTTTCCTTGTTGGCTGCATCTAGAGCTTGAGTCTTCTTCTCCAGGTCAAGAGCCAGTTTTTTACTCATTTCTTCCTCATCACTAGCTGCTTCAATACTGGATTCTGCTGCATTTAAAGAAATAGAGTTTAAACATGTATAATGATCAGTATTTAACTCAGAAATTTCAGTTACTCAAAGTGTTTCAGAAAGTGTTGCAGCATCCAGAGAAACTCCTTGTGATTCTGTTTCAGAAGCATTTCCAGTGATATATCTGACAGAGAGAGCTTGTTTAGTGGATTGCTGTTCCTCTGTCTGTTCAGGTTGCTCTTCCTCCTCATCACTGACAGCACAAATCAAACTCATTCCTCTTCTTCTCAAGGTATTTGCACATTCATTAGCATAATGTCCAAATCCTGAACAAGCCCTGCATTTAATGTGATCTAAGTTAGGTGGTTCAGAATTTGAACGAACAAATGAAGAATTTTTTAAAGTGTTCTGAGCAGATGTTTGAGGAAATGTTCTCTGTGGAGTAGATCTGTTCCGGGGCTGAGTTTGTCGATTTTGCGGAGAGCCATTTGGAAATAATTGTCTGGGCTTGATTCCACTCCGCCTGTATGCCCTATTGAATTTCTGAATTTGGAATGCAACATTGTTGAGACATTCCTTTGCATCATCATCATATTCCGGAGCAACATCTTCCTTCTCCAATTCTGCCTGGAGTGCATTTGAGATCGCCTTTCCTTTCTCCTTTCTTTGGTCTTCAAAGTTCATCTCTCTAGACTTTAGACTACCAATTAAGTCGTCCAGCCGTAGAGACGATGTGTCTTTGGCCTCCTCAATAGCAGTAACCGTCAGCTGAATCTTTATGGGAGAGTTCTCAATACCTTGTTCACCAGTGTCTCGTTGCTTAAAGGACCACCTAAGGATTGAAATTCATTAGCCAAATCAATCAATTTCTCATTATACTGAGAAATTGTTTCAGTTTCTTCCATTCTCAGTCTCTCAAATTTGGAAGAGAGTAATCTGAGCTTGGTTCTCCTGACACTGTCTGATCCTTCACAATGTAGCTGTAGAACCTCCCATGCATCCTTTGCAGAAGTGCAAACTGAAATCAATTTAAACATTGTTAAATCTACTGAATTGAAGATTGCATTTAACGCCTTTGAGTTTTGATTGGCATTTGATAGATCATCTGCTGTCCACCGTAATTCTGGTGTTGGAAATATATCCCCATCTGCATCTGTGATAGTTGGTGCCTTCCATCCAGTGAAAATGGATCTCCAGGCTCTCTCATCAATGGCTTTAATGTATGCTCTCATCTTGACTTTCCAGTAGGTGTAGTTTGTGCCATCAAGTACAGGAGGTCGCATAGAAGCAGTCATCTGAGTATCCATCACGAATTCGTTTCTGAAAAAGAAAATAGGAACAAACACTTAGTATATGTCAAGTGTTGGCTCTTGATGCCAATTGAAAGAGTTTATGGTCCCGAATTCGTTTAATACAGAGGTGTTGTCTTGAGTGTTATGACACTTGAATAAACATGCAGCGGAAATAAAAAGAAACAATACTCAGAATTGAAAAATGTTCACAAGTAAATACTTGTGAACTTGCCCTTTACAGGACGGAAAAAGAATATATTAAAATCAGTATTCTAAGAATACAAATGGAAGAGGTGCGAAAACTTCTTCCTTACAAATGAATCATTCTCATGATCATTCTTACAATCAAATCTAGATACTAAAAGAAAAATATTAAAAATTCTAGATTTCAAAGAATGTACTCATAAGGAGTACGTACAACAGATCCTAGAAACACACTAAAATTCTCGAGATTAAAACTTCAGCACACTTTTTGTTTCTTCGAAATCTGTACAATTCTTGAGTCTTGAGTTTGGTATTTATAGACTTGCCAAGCTTCCACTCCTCAGCCCATGATCTGCAAGAAAACCAACCACAAGAGCACTCAAGAAAGTGGGTTAGTGGGTTAGTTTGGAAGTTAAGATAAATTCCATAATTTAATCCACTAAGCACTACTTAACCCACTAACTAAAATTTAGTTTAGATAGTAAGAAAGTTAAAAACACAATGTGGAATTAATCCACGTGTTTCAAATATAAAAATAGGCCTCAAATATTTTATGTTCATATGCATTAGTAGGAAAATGGCAAGAATTCGTAGCTTAAGGCCCCAAATTCGTAGTAAGAACATTTTTGCTACAGTAAAATTACGTAGCAAACACTTTTTGCTTTGAGGACAAGTTTAGAGGATTTGAAATTTCAAAATAAGTAATTAATTAATTAAGAGCTTGGACAAATCAACACTAACCAACTTCGCATTACCTTTTTTTTTTCCCGGTAAATTCAGCAATTACATTATTTTTTCTACTTTTTATGTAACCTAAGGCCATAGTAGATTTTCTACTGCCTCGTTCCAACTCTTTTACAACAACCAAAGCAACGTCGAAACTAAAATCTGGCTCCTCATTTCCTCCTAGGACATCACGTGAGTTTGCTCTAGTTAAATTCTCACAATAGAGCTTCTAAATTGTCTCTCGTCGGTGCAAACTTTTCAGCTTTCAGCTTTGCTTCAGTCAACTTGTCTACGGCCCATGTATATTTTTCACCACATTTTTCATATTTCATCCTCATGTAATGTTTTTTTTGCTATATAATCATATTTAACAAAACAATTATACAAATTTGTCGATTCTTTTGCTCTGTTTATTGCAATGCCAAGAAAGGCTACTCCTACACTCTCAAGAGAAGATGCTCCATCCTTATGAACCATTTTTAAATAAGTCGTGCATTATGTAAGGGGCCTTTGTCTTCGAACGGAATTTGAAAATAACTTATCATCAACATTTGGTGGTTTTGCATTGGCTGAGATGCTGAGAACTAAGAGCAATGGACAACTCCATTTTGGTTTTTGGTGATGCAACCCTTTAAATAAATTTGATGATGAGGGCTAAGGAAATTTTGGATTAGAAGTATCATTATGAGCATGTGAACTTATTTTTTTTTTTTCATAATTAAAATACATTAATAAGGAAAGGAAAAGTTACAAGCGTCAACAAGAGGAAACCCTCGGTCACAAAAACAATTAACAAGTAACAAATTGATTTTCTTTTTGTCTTTTTGTTATATTACATTTTTCCATTATTTTGGTTTCTCAATCTTTATAGGAAACATCTAATAGGCTTTTTTTCAACAATTATTTTTGACTTAGTTTGGATTATCTATCTTTGATTTTGGATTATTTGGGGTTCTCAATCTATTTATTATTTTGGATTAGTTGGGTTCTCACCTATATTATATCATCTCTAAATTTAAAGATTAATTCAAGTCTATAAATATTGACTTATTTTATGATTTTTTTTTTTTTTTTGGTTTGTGTCCAAGTGAAGTAATACTCTAGCCCAATTGCAGTCGAATAAAGATAAAACGATCATAAACGAGTAAACATAATTAAATACTTATAGCCGTTATTTATTCAGACATGAAGTGCACAGTACATAACCAATAACTATAGCTTTATTTAAGACAATAATTTGTCATATATATATTTATATATTATCAACAAGATTCTTACGATGATCAACTTTGTGTGTTTAATCGATGTTCCACCAGAATTGCGCTTGAAGATACTCAATCACATCCTTCTCAACCTGGAACGCCTTTGTTAGGACAGCTGGATTAATTGGTGGATCCGAACCAAACACTGCATTAGCTATAGTAATAACACCTGGATTTTGGCTGCTCAGACCAGCAAATGCTACAGCATTGGTCTTTCCAACATTAAACTGGAAATGAATCAAACCCTGTGGAAAGACGAAAACGTCCCCAGGGTGCAAATACGTTGCGAAGAGCTTGTTTTTCAAGGCAGGGTCAGCTGGATTTGAAGTGACGAATCCAACATAAAGAGTTCCTTTTAACAAAATAAGAATCTCAGTGGCACGTGGGTGAGTGTGCGGTGGGTTCAAACCGTTTGGTGCATAGTCTATACGCACAGCAGAAATACCCAAAGTGTTGAGTCCAGGTAATTGATTGACAGTAACAGGAGTGACTCTCGATCCAAGTGGATTGGAGGTGTTTCCAGGCTTGTTTAATCCCCGAAAAAGGAAATCTTCGGCCACAACCATATTAGGGTTCTTGCAGATCTTCCCATTCACAAAAACTACGTAAATGCATGCATGCAAAAAAAAAAAAAAGATGTCAAAAGTTGTAATATTTTGATGATTATTAATGTAATTAGGCGAGAATAAACACCCCCTGGAGTAGATGTAATTATCCAAACAAGAGGGGGTTTTTTGTAATTTAACCATACCTCAGGGGTATTTATAATTTACCCTATAAACAAAGTTAAATGGATTTTAGAAGTTAATTAATACCAAAAGCCTCGGTGTCGTTAACAGCAACACAAAAATCTTGGAGAGGGCTGGGATCTGATGCATATGCAAATGTAGCGAAAAACGCAACAACAAATATTGTTGCGATTGAGACAAGAGCCATCTTCATAATTCTGATGACTGCTTTGAACACTAGTTATTATCAATATTTTGGTGTTGTGAGGTTATGAGAATATTAATTAGAACTAAAATGGTACCTATTTATAGGGAATACAATGTCAAGTAGACAAGTAGTTGTTACAATTTTAATTAATTGTATTTTGTATTAAGAAGAGTTTATAAAAAGTGTGCAACCATCCATTGTAGTTTTTTAGGACACATATTTGACAGCTAACGGAACCATTTAATATGCATATCAATATTAGTTAATTAAAATTGTCAGTGAAAATTAAATGGTCGTTTTATCCTCGTAGCAGTTAATTCATTGACATGTTCCAGTTCATGTCTTGAGTACCCTTTAATCTACCATGGAAGTAACTCGAGCAACCTAACACCAAGTTCAATGTGCTTGGAAGGAACTCAGGGGACAAACAAGGAACTCAGGGGACAAACGATCCGTCCCGGAAAGATAGTGATCTGCGACAGGGGAATCAATTGCGCCGGAAAGATTGTGGACCCTGGTTTGGTCTACGATATCGGAGCACAGAATTACTTCGATTTTCTCTGTGCCCAAGGGCTTACGTCATCGGAGACTTGCCGGCATTCTCTTGCAACTTCCGGCGACTTGAATTACCCTGCAATCTCAGCAGTTCTACCGGAGAACGCAAGCACCACTAGTACGGTTCTGACACTCCACAGAACGTGGGCCCCACCGTTTCGAGTTACCACGTAGCGATTTCGCCGTTCAAGGGGGCGTTTGTGAAGGTTGAGCCGGCGAGACTGGATTTCACCGCAAAAATTAAGAAGATAACTTACAAGATCACGTTCACGGCTAGATCTCGACAAACGGCGCCGGAGTTTGGTTCCATTATATGGAAAGATGGTGGGGTCCACAGAGTTAGAATCCCCGTTGTGATTACGTGGCTAACGCCGTTATAATAAGATTAGCCATTTATGGGATGGAACCCTCATTTACCCATGGTTCGCCGGAGCGGAACAGTGCATTGTCGCGGACACTGTTGTTCCAGTTCCATTGCAACGTCGCGGCTGCATCGCGGCGGAACGGACACATTTTAATTAAATTGTTAAAAAAATATAATATAATTCAAATATGTTTTTAATAACACAATTACAATTCAATAATATGAAAAATATTATTATAATTTAAAAAATAAATATTACAAAGAATATTATGAAAATATAAGCAATATTAATACCAAGTAGAATACCGAGCTAGAATTGTGTAAGATATAATTGAAGAGTGAAGCCAAAGATTTGTGATTCAGGAGAATCTTCATTATCTAACCCCACCACCATCATATTATTTTTTTTCTTTTATGTTTTTTTTCCTTATTTTTTTTAGTTAAATTTGTTTTTTTTTTCAAATTCTTTTTTCCTGTTCCGGCACCGTTCCGGTGCCGTTCCGGCCGCGTCGGGGCCGTTCCGTGGCTCCGTCTCGCCCATCCCACCGATTTCTCGGCGTTCCGACGAGTCACGGTGCAAACACCGTTAAATGTTGATTGGTTAGGTTTAACTTGGTATTGATCTGAATTTTTTTTTTTCTCATTATTTTAGGGTTTTGGATTAATTTATTTGTTCTGATGATGGTGGTTGTGTGGAATTTCTATTAAGTTAAATATTTATTTATTGAAATTTCACTTCATTTGGCAAATGTCATGCAATTTTCGGTTTAATTGAAACAGTGTGTTACTAAGAGAGAAACTAAGCTAGGTTTTTTTTTTTCCAGGGGTGGGTACACTGTTGTTATCAATACTTGGAAGAGAAATACATTACTTAAACAGTCTGTTGCGCACTATGCATCCTGTCAAGGGACCGATGCGATTCACGTCGTTTGGAGTGAAAACGATCCACCTTCTTACAAGCTACGAGATTTTTTATATTACGGATCTTAGAACTGATGCTATATTCTCGGTGGACGATGATGTCATTGTTCCATGTCGAACTCTGGAATTCGCATTCGCTGTTTGGCAAACTGCTCCTCGATCTTACGATGGTCGGATTTGTTCCTCGTATGCATTGGTTGAATGAATTTAGTCTCTGTTAGAATTATTTCGTGCAAATTAATTATAAATTTGTGTACGATAAATTCCAGATTCAGTTTTAGCTACTGTTCTACTGTTTTACGAAGAGTTGCAACAGTTAATGGAACAGTAATAAAAAGACACAAATTTTAAAGTGGTTCGGATACAATTGTACCATACATCCACGGGGACCTGCAAATGAAATTCACTAATTTTTAGTTTTACGAATACAGTAATAGGACTTAATCGAAAATGCAAAGACTCCCTCTTTGTCGACGTCGTTCTTGTATCCTACGCTGAATTGTCAATCTTCACTTTGCAGCACGTCCCTTTCCGCACGGTTGAAATTCCTTCAACGCTGAGTCCCTCAGTCGGCGGATCGACCTCCTCCCATGATCTTCTGAATTCTCCTCCCGAAGAACCGATCTTCTTTTCGGTGAAAGAAGCAAACCCTTTCTCTGTATTTTCTTCTCGGATTAAGATCAAAGGTCTGGGGCAGCAACGTAAGAGCAGAAAGGATTTTTTCTCTCAAAATAAAAGGGACCACTTAAAACAACGTTGATGCTCCCCTTCTTATACTTCCTTAGGTGAATTAGTAGAGCCCTACAAAAAGTGGAGCCCATTAGGTTATATTTTATATCACGTAAGGAAAATAGGAGTTGTGTAACAAAGTAAATTCTTTTCAAAAGAAAATTCCTAGTTAACAAAACACTTAGGCAATTAAATAAATTAATGACAAAATAAGAGTTAAAAGAACTAAGGAAACTTCCCTAGCTGTAAACACGTTTTTCACACTCGTGTTGAAAAACCGAAATTAGAATCCTCCCGGATTCTAACAATCTCCCCCTTTGTCATCTATTTATTATAATCAAGTCCTCCCCCTTAATCAAGTACCTGACAAAAAAAAAAAATTTACGCTGCATAATAGAGTAACTGTTAGAACAGTTCAAAACAAAGCAACAGTCGAAAGGAGAACAAGGTTAAGCCTATCAGACTATTACAAGCCATTGTTCAGAAAACAAATAAAATAATAAAAAAAAACATTAGTCTAGAATGTCTTCAGCATCAACGAACAACTCCCCTTCATCATCTGTATTATCCTCAGTTGCTGCATCATCAACTGCATCATCAACTGTTGGAACAGTTGGAACACCAGTTCCAGCAGTAACTCCCCCTGTATGAGCAACTCCCCCTGTATGAGATGCTTCGTTGCCAACTCCCCCTTTCTGAGCAAGGGCGGTAAAATAGTCGAGCAAAGGCGGGCCCCAAGGGACGTTCAGAAGCAAGAGAGCGTTGACTTACCAAATACCACCGAGATTGGTGCGAGGGTAAAAAGAAACGATGACTGAAAGCATCAGCGACAGAGATGGGCAGAGTGAGATCCGAGTCAACAGCGGCAGCCCGAGCACGAGAGGTAGAGGCACCAGTAGTGGGCGGCGGAGGAGCACGTCGGCGAGAGCGGCGAAGCGGGGCCGAAAGTGGCGGTGTATCGGAGTCATCGTCGTCAACAATTTTGCCCTTCCCTTTGTGTGCATGCGAGTCCTTATGGGAAGCCACATCAACCGAAGAGGTTGGTGAGGCAGCAGAAGACGGTGGCGGCGGTGGTGATTATAGGAGAAATATATTTTGGAGAAAAGAGAGAATGATATCTCTTACGTATATTAATCATATATATAGTTACATGTAGGAAACCCTAACCTACTACACAAGGTAACCTAATATACAAGGAAACCTAATATACAAGGTAACCTAATAAATAAGAATAATAATAGGAATAATATATATAATATAGATAGATACGTAGATACGCTAATACACCCCCGCAGTTGAAACGGGAAAGGAGAGGACGTGGAGACTGGAGACAAACTGTTGGAACAGTTGAGTAGGGAGTCCTTTCGTGAAGATATCGGCAAACTGGTAGGCGGATGGGACGTGAAGGACTCGAACGTGTCCCAAAGCAACTTTGTCTCGGACAAAATGGATATCGATCTCCACATGTTTCGTACGAGAGTGTTGAATAGGATTGCTCGATAGGTAGACGGCACTGACGTTGTCATAGTAGACAATAGTGGCTTTCGAAAGCGGGCAGAGCAACTCAGAAAGTACGTTGCGTAACCAAGTCGTTTCGGCGACGGCATTTGCGACAGCTCGGTATTCGGCCTCCGCACTCGATCGAGAGGTAGTGACCTGTCGTTTGGAGGACCAAGAGATGAGGTTATTGCCTAGGAAAACACAATAGCCCGATGTCGAACGACGAGTGTCAGGGCAGCCACCCCAATCGGCGTCGGAGTAAGCGATAAGGGAGAGGTCCGGATTGGGGGAGAGCTGAAGGCCGTGATCGAGAGTCCCACGAATGTAGCGAAGGATACGCTTGAGAGCAGCCATATGAGGTTCCCTCGGATCATGCATGAATAGACATATTTGTTGCACAGCATAGCAGATGTCAGAACGAGTAAACGTGAGGTATTGCAGTGCACCGGCAAGGCTGCGATAAAGAGTAGGGTCAGCAACGGGGGGTCCAGTGGTCGAAGACAACTTGCTCTTTGTGTCAGCCGGCGTAAGACAAGGGTTGCAGGAAGCCATGTGTGCACGCTCTAGGATCTCGTCGGCGTACTTGCGTTGAGAGAGAAATAGCCCATTCGACGAGCGAGTGACGGAGATGCCGAGAAAGTAGTGAAGATCGCCAAGATCCTTCATTGCGAACTCTTGATTAAGGGCAGCGATGATAGAGCGGAGCAATTCTGGTGTGGAGGCCGTAAGTACAATGTCATCGACATACAACAGAAGGTAGGCGCATGAACTG